GTGGGTGGGTGGGTTTCCTTTCTGGGGTCTTGAGGAGGGAGACTCTGAGTAAATTTGACGTCCCAAATGCTAAACTACAAAGAAGTCTAGCATAATGAAATGGAATGGCATTATGGCACCTGACACTCGTATTCGTTGCAATGAATGCCGGAAAGCAGCCAAAATATTTTAATCTAAGTTTAGTATGCCAATTTAACGAGTTAGCAACGAGAAGATAACAGTGTCAGTGAGTAAAATGTGGAACACCATATAGGAGATGGCTGGCTGTGAGGAGGGAATAGGTGATGGCGAAACCTGAGGGCAGAGGGCAAGGTTGAAGGCCGGGGGAAAAGACGGGAATTTATTGTCTTGACCTAGGGGAACATAGTGGGTAGCTTAGGAGGGGCAAAGGGCAGTACTGGAGATTGAGGAAGGGGTGAAGGGGACTGCCATACACATACTCAAGAAGTGGGAGTAAGGGGCAGGCGAGAGAGAAGAGGGCTCGCGAAAAAGTTGAGGGTAGAATAGCATCTTGTGGACCATTCCTTGATTGCACCCTTTAATGGAATGGAAACTCCACTGAAGGCATGAACTCTGTCAACTACTGAATCAAAATTATGAGGGAGTCAAGAATACCAAGCATGAGAATAGAACGAAACATCAGAATTACCTTTCTGTTCTGGGAGAGTGGGATAATCAATTTGCATCAAGTAAGGGAAAGCCAGAAAACCAACTTTGGAAATGTTTTTTTTGGGAAAGACCCGGAAGAGGAATTATGACAGAATCAAGAATACCAAATATGGGAATAGAATGAACACCAGAATCGCATTGCATTTTGGGATCATCCTACCGTATAGAACAGACCATATGAGAAAGCCTGCAGCCACCTATTGAAGGGAAAACTTTATGATAAGAGCATAAAGGCACACCGACAGATCCCCCAATCAAAGAAAATTATGGTTCATATAAGAAACTGATTAAGTTTGCAGAATTTCAAGATGGAATTTTCTTTTTACTACTTCAACATCCATGAACAATAAGAGCAAGTCCAGGAGATGTTAAATAGACAGATTAAAGCTTTGACCAAAGTCATCAACATATTTTCAAAATGACAGCATCAGGGCTCAGGCTCAGGGCTAGCACAAAAAACTCGCAAGTACCTGGGAGGAGATGAATCACTACAGCAACTCTTCAAGCACTCCACCACACAATCTGGATTTGGTTCTAAAAAGAAAGCCATCTACATGTTGCAACCAGTATTTTGTTAGCTTAAGTTGCATAGTTCTAATGCCAGCAGAATGAAGAGTCAAGAGTATATTTAGAATGCGTTCAATTGTTCATACATTATCAGATAGCATATGGCAAGAAATGAGATATATTGCATAAGCTGCAACAGAAAAAGCCAAAAAGACATCCTTTTCACTAAAACAATTTACTTTATAGGATCTTCTTAAAAAGTACTTTTTAGGTATCTCATGTGAGAATATGAAAAAGAAAGATTGCGAGAATGTGTCACTTAATGCAGAATTCCTTCATAGACACTCTGTATAATATATACAACATTCCACCGAGCAGTGGAGATATTTTCCAACATATAATAGCTATCATCTGCAGTAGATCAGCTCTCTTGGAAGTTTCCCTTTAATAGAAAGTTCAAAGAAATATAGCTATTGTTTCTCTCTCCCCACCCCACTGCTTGTAATACTTGTATCCTCCTTTTTCCACTTGCAAAGACAATAGATCCCAAACATGTCAGAACAAGGATTCAACTAAGCAAACCATCTATATCAATATTTCCCAGACATGGATTGATATGAAATAAGGGGTAAAACACAAAGAGTTTGACAAGAAAAAGGAGAGCAACATATGATGAAATCTTGATTACCGAAAAACGCTCTTGCCCTGTTGGCATAACTCTATGCAATGTGGACCTACAAATGTATAGTTTATGTTACTGTTGAGTTTAGTAAAATGAATTTTCAGCACAGAAAAAGGCAACATGAAGAAATATAACATCTCTCAACCTAGAATAGGTAAAAACCCTAGGGAAGGATTATGATGTCTTTAGATATAAAAGAGAACAGAAGAGATTTGCCCTACCGAAATAAGCAGTTTGTCCATCTCTCCATCATATCTCCAATGTTAACTATGAAAGCCCTGCAGAACAACAATTGAAAAGAAACTTCAGCAGTTATGTGATGATACCATGTATTATGCTACATAATCAAGCCAAAGAGAAGATTAAACATTGAATAGAGTAGAAAGGGAATGTTGGCGACGACATAGGAAAGTACTGGCCGACACATTCATGGTATAATGCTTGTAAATAGATTAGCCCCTTATTGAAGCGGTTCTAAAAAACTTTTCCAAAAAGGTACACGAGAAGGTATTTAGACCTTCACAGAGAGAGACATACAAAACACACCTGCTAATAAACCTCTGACTTTATAAAGCAGTTACTTTTGAATAATAATGCCGCGATAAGTACCTTGTAGAAGGGATCTTGGAAATTAACAAAGAAAGATGAGAGAAGTTTTGAGGCTTTTGCCTGCTACCCTGACCCTCTTCCTTCGCAATTTAAGTGAAGAAAACTTGGTTAACTCGAACATATCTGCTTCTGGTATCTCATCTACAAGGGAACAACCTAAGACTAACTCATCCAGTTGTACCAAGGTTAAAACAAATCTACTTTAGCAAAGGATCCTAAATTTTCATTTCCATTTTGGATCACTAGTCAACAGCAATCTGTAACCTGTAGTTGTGATAGACTCAAGACAGTAGGATTGTGATCAGGAACAGATTTTTACGCCGAAGGGGAAGGGCTCTTTCTTCTTCTACTTTTTTTTTTCTTGGTCTTTTTGGGTGGAAATGGGGGTCTGGGAAGAGGTCTAGGACAACTTGGCAGCCTTTAGAGAATATTAAGCATGACAGTAAAGAGATCGTTCAACTGGTTGAGAACATTCATGGCGTCACTACAGAATGCAGATAGCACATAGAAAAAAAGACAAGAAAAAGAAAGATAGAAGAGAACGTGTCACATATTAAGTAGTGGAGAGCTCTCTGAAGCAGTAGATGACACTCAGGATGCGCATAAGGATGCAGATATAGGAATGTCCCTTTATCTCAACAAATTTAAGAGATGGGCTTGAAATGGATTTAAAAGGATCATTTGCAATAGAACCCCAAATCATTAAATGTGGTGAGAATATCCCATTATAGCATTCAAGAAAACAGAAAACCTTTCCACATCTGAATAGCGTTTTGCAGATTGTCATCCAGCATTAGCAAATTTATCAGAATGATTGACACCTCACATTGGTTACAGCCTTCTAGAGTGGCGCACATGGACAAAAGGGAGACAGTGGAATATTGCAAAAATAGATGAACAGAACAATGTTCTTCATTTTCACGTTGAAACTTTTCACTCACTAGGATAGAGGCTCAAATTCAATCTTGATCAGGCTTGTTTCTGACTCCAGAATAATCAATCAAAAATATCTATATTTGAGTGACCATTGAACCTACCCACTGAGGTGATGCACATCTTCCCATATCTGAGGTCGCTTGAATTTCTCCCGGCAAACCTGTTAGCTCTAGAACCAGTTAATATACGCATTCATGAGAACCAACATTTAGATAAAGAAAAAACATTCATATCAGACGTGCCTGAAGTCCACCAACACCATCTGTAGCTAGAAGAGTTAACATTCCATAGTCTGAATGAGCAGAAGCACCATACACCACTTGTTCAGATAATCGTAACTCACCTACAGAAAGTTTACATAAAGCATTTGAACTCATGATCAAACTGGAAGCCCCACTGTTCAATTTGCATGATTAAAATCATTTTGCCAAGCACGTCGTTACCCTATAAGTTAAAGGAAATTCAAGTATTGCATCAGGTGCAGTTATTAAGCATGGAAACCTTGGCTATGTAAAAAGGACCATTCCATAAGTAGTCACTTTTTCAGTTCATAATGCTTCGCTAAACAAATACGCATAATCCAAAGAAAAACACTAATAGCACAGAAACTGCAGTCCCCCCTGAAAAAACTTGTCTTTGCATATTCACAAGCATCAATCAAATTGTCTCCCCTTTTCACTCCCACTTCATATCATCTGGAGGTGCGGCGGCAAAACTAATATTTAGACAGAAAACAGGTACTGGTCACCTATTAAAAAACAGGAAGAAAAAAAAACTCAAAAAGATAAATGCCGTTTATGGAACTAAACCTGGATAATGTAACAAACGAAGGAATGCATTTGGTGAGTCACATGCCCCTGCTTTATGAAAAAAGTCCTCATCCAATTCCAATGCCAAAGCAATCAGTGAAATTAGTCTTATCCCAGCATCCCTGAGACAAGATAGTCAAATCAACCACAAATCAAGTAACCTAGCCATCTGCAAAACACTGAGCTGTTAGCAAGAAGATGAAGACCAATGATCAGAGATGCAACTTAAACGTTTAACTTTCAGTTATTATAGGCACAGGGAAGTGAGTGGTATGAAATATTTATAGGGGTTGGTGTTACAGTTGTTTATATCAAGAGGAAGTTTAGGGAATAAGGAAATCTAAAATTGCTTTTAAAAAATATCAAAGTGATACTCACAAGACTCTTTTATAGTAATCCTCCATGGTTGATCTCCAACATGGCAGAATTTCTAGACATTCCAAATGGAAGAAAAATCAAAGAGTCACCACACATGTTTTCTGGAGAAATCTGTCCTTCAAACATGAAATATGTCTCGAAGCACACGTGAATTGATGCACGAATAAAGAAAAGTGAGCATTTGATGGTAGAAATCTTTGCTTCTTGTTACAGCGATCATATTCAACACAATAAGGACGAACAAACTCCAAGAGCCTAAGTATATTAAGGACAAGATCATGATGTAAGCTCAAATAAGAAAGATGTAGAGAATACCTTTTGCAGGCCACTGATTCAAGTTACTAACAGCCCTCTTGTCTTCCAGAGAACCGATGTAGAAGCTTTCTTTTGAATCACCTGCACTCCAATGATGAAACAATTAACTCCAGATTTAAGCTACCTTCTGTCTTACTATCCCCGAATGCAGATCAACTCGCAAATGTAACCAACAAAAGCCTACTGAAGAAAAGTGGCATAAGAGAAAAATCTACATTTGTTAGGCAAAGAGCTAGCCTTTTGGTAAACACGACTTTCGGACAGGGTCAATGTAGCTTAATCCACGCTTATACGCAATGAAATCAACTGATTTGCCACATGGTTGAGACCAACTCAACCAAATTGTTTCAATCATGTTGTATCAATAAAAATTTATGTAATTTCAGCAGCAAAATTAAATCCTTTTACAGAATTTCAGCCTTCTGCTATGCAGCAGCTAATGTTCCGTGTCAATGCAAACATAAAATCATCTCCACCAAATGTTCACATCAGATCAATAGATATTCCACTTTTAGATAATTTTTATCACCTTAATTAATATGCATTCTTACCTCAGCCGGTGACTAATGCTCTCATGTTAGTGCTAAATTAACTTGGTTTTGTGCAAACACCAAGGGCATGATTGAAGCAAATAACAACTAAAAAGAAAAAGAAGAACTACCTTGGGTACCAGAAGAGGGATCGAGATTCTCAGCATAAAGGGGAGTATAACCTCTGTTGTTCCTCCGTACCAGTTTCATCTTCTCTTCAACTGACAGTGAGAAATACTTTTGGCTGTGTTCAAGCACTTTCTTAAACAGCTTTTCCTCTACCCCATGGTTTATAAGGTAAAAGAAACCAACTTCTACACATGCCTACACCAATAATTCACAATGGATTGAATACCTGGCCTTATAATTCAAGATCAAAAATTTAGTAAAAGAGTCCAATTACATTGGTTTTGAGATAATAAGGAAAAAGAGAGACCTGACGAATTGCACGAGCGGTGGAAATACGATCAGGGGAAGTAAGGTCGATAATGGGGAGTTGAAGTGATTCTGCCATTATTACTACTCCACTTTGTACTAGTTTTGTTTGGTCCTTCCAAAACTTAATGGCTTTTCTACGGTAAAAATTCCGCCTCTACAAGAAGCAGACCGTGTGAGAGTTCAAAACTCAAAACCACCTCTAGTTTTCAATTTGTGACCATTTCTGGCAACGTCGTTTTCAATTTGTGGGTCAAGGTTTTGTAAGAAAAGATTGTTTTTGTTTAAGTTCATAAAAAGAAGGGTCGTGTAAGGGTGAGATATTTTAGGATATTCCATGTGACGGATATTTCAAAGGCATTAGTTGTACCACCTTCTAATTAGGATAATAATTTTTATTGTTTTAGTATAAAATTATTCCGGATTTAACTAATATCTTAAATCAAACATAGAATAAAGTTAATCCTAAACTTTATTATTCTTATCGCATATACTAAACAACCCAGGGATGAATGCACCTTGATTGAGGTAACACTGCTTCGTCCGAAATTTTTACTAAATATATATATACAAATAATATACACGAAAATGTGATATCACATAAAAGCTTTAAAGTGACACTGTTTGCAATGAAGTGCTCCCACGTTCGATGGTTGAGCAAGCTGTCACTGCTTTGATTCTCATAGCTTACACTTTGTGTGTGTTTTAATATTTTTTGACCTTATTGTTAACACCATCATACCACTTCATCTCAGCAATGCAAACGATCTTCAAGAGAAAATCCCTCCTGCAACTTCTCAAGGCCATCGGTTTTGGCCAGTTCGTAGGTATCCCTTCTTCATTTGCCCTTCTAGTATCCTAACTGTGAATGAGGACTGCAATTGTCCTAATATTAAAATCCTCGCCCCAAATATGGTAAAGCGAGTTACCTACTCCAAGAAAGGGTTTAGCTATGTCTATACGTATCCCTTTATTTTAGGTCAATTCTCTTTGGGGTCGAGTGAAGGGCTTGACCCAATAATTTTAGAGTTTTGCCACCGATATCAGGTCTGCTTAGCACAAGTACGACTGTCTATATGGCAGGCGGTGGCATGCCTTCGCGAATTGTGCACTGAGACCGGAAAAACTCTAACTCTTGCACATATAATGAACCTTTATTCTTAATAAACCTTAGCAAGTGTGGTCACCATACTCTCCTCACCAGCGTAGACGATGACAACGACCGTGGATAGATGGAAAGGTTCGTCGTTGTTGCTACCAGAGACATCATCCCGCCCACAACTCCAGCTTTTTTTGAGTCGTGGAACCGTTTTCGTAAGTTTTCGGTTATTTGCTTCTTTTCTCTGTGAAAAGATCATTTCTATTTTGTTGATTTTCTATTTTCTTCGTTTCAGCTACCCGCTGGGAACCGCCACGGGTTCAAGGCATGGACTAATGGATTCAGAAAATTCTAAATATTACAACTGCAGAATCCCGACGAGGGAAGGAAGTGACCCCCAAATACGAGTGGAATGTCAAGCACCATGGTAAGCCAAGTCTTTCTTTCTTTTATCCTTGTTCGGACACAAGAAATCTCATGAATAAATTGCTAACTCCATTTTTGCCTAATACAGGGCTTCCGAGGGGCTCCGTCATTTGCCCCGAAATCGACGTCTTAGATGACTCCGAGGATGCCATGAGGGTGTTGCAAAATACCCTTGCTTGAAACACAGCTCGTGGATCTGCCCGGGCCTCCGGTGAGAGTGCCTCCTCTTGGAGTCCCCAGCCCGAGAACAAGAAACTAAAGAGAAGACGTTCCTCCTTGGCTGGGACTCAGGAGAAGAGGGCAAAGAAAACACCAACCAAGTCGACCTCAGTACCTATAATGGTCCTCGATGACGAAGGAGAAGCCAGTAATGAAGAGGCTTCTCTTCAAAGGAAAAAAAATCTTCATCCGCTCAACCGGATGCTCAGCTGGGAGAGCTTCAAAACCCATCATCAAATGAAGTTGAGGCACTTTTGGGTGAGATGGGTTTGGTCGAGAATGTTGACTCTCGTTTCTCGACCCCCATTATTGTTTCCGGCCAAAGGAGTTCGAACCCCGAGCTCTTTTTGCCTTCATCTACTGAGCAAGCAATAATCACCATTCCTCCTGCCGCAACTGCTTCTTCTCCTTCTACACCAATAATTTCACGCCCATCGACACTAGTTGCTCCTTCGCCACCAGCACCAACTGTAGTTCCTCTACTGGCATCAGCTGATCAGATAAGGAATGCTTCTCCTCCTCGGTCTCTTGATCAGGGGGACTTGGGTAGAACCTATGATATGCCTTCTCAAGATCCCCAAGGAAGGCGAAGCGCCACTCTTTCAATTTCGAAAGAGTGTCATGTCCTCTCCAGGTCGGTGGAGCTTGCCAACGATATGAACCCGCTGGCTTCGGGGAAAGATTGGAAGAAAATGGGCTCTCCTCATACACAGTGTGGCTCAAGTACCATTCTAATTTCCTTCTAAGTCCTTTTCCGTTTATACACTGTAATAGTAACCTTAACTCTAACTTTTTTAGGCCAACTTCCTTGCTTCTGAGGGCCTGCTAAGGTTGATCCTTGACAAACAATGACTTGATTCTAAGCGGAATCAACTTTTAGGTGAGAGTGACCAGTGTCATGCGCCTACCGATGTTGGAGGCAAAGGTTGCAGAGATAGGCGAGCTTGAGGCTCGGTTACAGTAGAGCGAGCAAGATAGAATGGCCCACGGTCAAGAAGCTGCCCAATTACATGAAAAGCTTCAAGAAGATAAGGCTAAGTGGGCCGAACTTCATGATGTTATCATAGTCGTTGTCGAGCGCGAGTCTGCCTTCGATGAGCAAATCAATAATTTAAAGGCCAACTTATGCTCCAAAACCGAGGAGGCCAACAAGGAGAAAAGGGCCAAAATGGAAGAGAGGCTAAAGAGGGTCATGGAGCAGAACCGGCTTCACTCAACTACCAATATTGAGCTTGATTTCCGCCTTAGTGCCATGAAGGTTGAATAAGAAGAGCTCCAGGCCGAGATCGATAAACTCCGAGCCAAACTCCAGGATCAAGAAGATTCACTTGTCTTCAAAAAAACTTATGCTATATATCATATGAAGAGGAAGACTTTGGAGGAGGCCAAAGTGGGCATTGCTGATATTAATGATAACATTGCCAAAGCCCGAAAATTGGAGTTAACTACTCGTGAGAATCTTCCTTCTTGTTCCTATGCAACTAACTCCTCGAATACTAGTTCCGAGTATTCCGGAATCTAAGGAGAAATTAAAGAAGATGAAGTCCACGAACCGGTAGGCAGATCCACTACCTGGGGAAATGTAGACCCTTCTCCTCCTTCGGGTTCTGGTAGCAAGGAATAGTGTATATATTCTTCTCTTTCTTTTTTTTATCTTTTGTAATTATGTCAAAACCTTTTACTAAGTTTGACACTTGATAAATAAAAGAATTTTTTGCTTAAGTCTTGTGCAAAAATATTCTTTTTATGTTAAGTTGATAAAGTTTCGGGTATATTGTTTCATCTGATAGCTTTTGATTTCGGGAATAAACTCTTCCAGAATCTACCCTTTATTATGAGGGTATCTTGACTAGAGAAGGCCCTTATATTTACGGTGTTCTTGAAGAGTACATCTCTTGTTCATTCCGGCACAAACATTTGAAGTTTTTGTTAACTTTCAAATGATAAAATTAGCTCATCATTTGGACAAAAAATAAGACAAAATAAAAGGACTTTATTTTATTCCCTCTATCTTTAAAAGTACATAGGCATTCATTTGCTCAAGTTAATAAAGTTTCCAATACATGTGGCTAACTTGTACAACTTATTTCTATGGGGTTGATCATGCAGTCCTTGACCCTGATGAGATATTATTGATCCTGATTCTAACAGTCCCCGGTTTTCGTGGCATTCTTGGTGTCGTATCATACATTTCCTCCCAGTGATCGAATGCTAAGTATGAGGGTTCGAATAGTGGAAGTCATGTATTCATACTGTTGCTTTATCAGCGGAGACAACTTGTGAACGAGTAAATAATCCTTTTGAATTATGGAAGGCGAGGCTTGCCATCAGGCCAAAGATTATTTAACCATCCACAAGTTTTTTACCATGCGAGCTCGTACTCGTCGGTCCCATCGGTGTGAGAATTTTAGTGCCTTGATATTTAAAGGTCTTGTCTTTGTTGGTTATCCTCTCTTCGTAGTATGTTTTATGTTGTTGCCTCATTAAAAACCTTGCTAGAAAAACCCGATTGTGACAAAAACTGGTCGAAGAAAAAAAAAGTACAGCACATACTTTCAGTACCAACAAGGATCCTCAGCAATAGTACCTTTTGAGGTGAGTCACGTTCCAATTGATTAGTAGTTTGACTCCATATTGATTTTTCAACTCATACGACCATTTACCAGTGATAGCAGAAATTCGATAAGGACCTTCCACGTTGGCCCCAACTTCCCGACGTTGACTTCTCGAGTGCTCTGAGTGACCTTCCTTAAAACCAGATCTCCCACTTTAAAATAATAAATATTTGCCCTGCAATTATAATACCTTTACATCCTTTGTTTTTGAGCTACCATCTCACGTATGCCAAGTCCCGATGTTCATCGAGAAAGTCTAGTTTCACCAGCAACACTTCATTGTTTGTTTCTTCATTTTCTCGAAAAAAACTCAAAGTCGGTTCCCTTACTTCCACCGGTATCAGAGCCTCTGAACCGTACACAAAAGAGAAAGGTGTTTCTCTCGTGCTTGACTTTTCCGCTGTCTGATATGTCCATAGCACTCTCGCCAGCTCATCGGGCCACTTGCCCTTAGCATCTTCTAACTTCTTCTTAAGGTTCTGAATAATTACCTTATTAGTCGATCCCGCCTGTCCATTAGCACTTGGGCCGCACGGTGAATACGTAATTCTTTTGATTTTTAACCCTTCCAAAATCTTTGTGACTTTTGAACCTACGAATTGCGGCCCGTTATTGCATGCGATTTCCTTTGGTATTCCAAATCGGTAGATTATGTGGTCCTATATGAAGTCAACCACTTCGCGTTCTCCAATCTTTTGGTATGGACATGCTTCATTACACTTAGTGAAATAATTAGTTAAAATAAAGAAAAATCTTACCTTTCTGGGGCACGGTGGTAAAGGTCCAACTATGTCCATTCCTCATTTCATGAATGGCCATTGGGACAACATCGAATGCAAAAGTTCTGCTGGTTGATGCACTAAGTGTGCATGACGTTGACATTTGTCACATTTTTGAACGAATGCCTTT